CCCCCCGCCCCTGTCCCTCCATCCTGTCTGTTTGCTCATATCCTGTGTCTGTGTCTGCTCTTTGTGTGCCTCTTCACAGGTATTCCTCCACAGGTGTTCCTTTACACATTGTGTTGACTGCTCCAGCGTTTTGCCTTTCTCTATACTTAAAATCAGTTGGCCATTGCCTACAAAATAGTTTGAAGTCATTTGTTTGAGAGTGCACACTACAGATAAGTCAGAAAGAACTGGCACCTAAATCATCATGAATCTTCCAACCCATGAACATAGACTACCTATTTTTAAGATTTGTGATTTCTTTCATATTTTCAGTTTATAGTTTTCCAAATAGATATTTCATGTAAGATTTACGTCTAAAAATGTTTGTTGTTTTGGTGCTATTGTGAGTGGTAGTTATAAATGTTAAATTTCAATTGTTCATTGATAGTACATAGGAAAATAACTGACGTTTTTGTATTCACATTGACTACTGAAAATTTGCTGCACTTACTACTTAGTTCCAGGAATAATTTATGTTTATACTTTTATGGAGAGGTCTACATAGCAATCATGCCATCTGATAAAGAAAATCATTTTTTTTAATTTGTGTACCTTTTCTGTCCTTATATTCTTGCATGAGCTAATACTTACAATTCATTGTGGAAGAGAGTAGTAAGAGTAGACATTTTTGTCTTATTCCTGATCCAAAAGGGAAGAGCATTCTTTTTTAACCATGAACTATGACATTAGCAGTAGGTTTCTTTATAAGTTTTTTTTAATCAAGTTGAGAAAATTCTACTTTATTTGCACAGCATTTATACCATTGATGGGTATTAGATTTTGTCAAATTTCTTTTCTGTTGACATGATAATGTTTTGTTTTCTTAGCATATTAACATGTGAATTAAATTTATTGAGTTTTAACTGTTGAACCATCCTTAAATACTTGGACTAAAGCCCACTTGTTCATGTTGCAATTCTTTTGTACATTTTTATTCAGTTTGCTGTTGCTTTGTAGAGGATGTTGTCTGTTCATGAGAGATACTGATCTGTTGTTTTCCTTTATTTTAATGTGTCTATTTGCTTTCTGTATAAATAGTTATGCTGACTTTACAGAAAGAGTTAGGAAATATTCTCTTTTCGTTTCCTTTTAGAAATTGTGAAGAATTGGTACTGTATCTGCATTATACATTGTACTACTGTATTCACTTAAAAAGAATGTTTGTTAAGCAGTTACTAAATGGAGTATTCTATAAATGTCAGCTAGTACATACATGGATTAGGAGAAAATGGTTGTAAATTACACTTTTGATACAGTATTTTTATTCTAAATACATAAAGCAGGCTCATAGTTTAATAATAGATCAAAGAATATAATCTAAAATATATAAGTTATACAAAATAGACATTTTTTAAATGAGATATACAAATAGTTAATAAGCATAAGAAAAGACATTTAGGATTACACTTACAAATATGACCATCAAAAATATTGCAGTAATTCTCCCCTCTCTTGTATTCTGTCCTGAAAACTCTAACAGCCTTAGTTTATCTGGTCGACAGGATTCTACTTAACTCAGGGAGAAAGCCAGAATGGGCTAGCCTTGTCTGGAGTCTCCCTTGCCACACAAAAGCCTGAACACATTATTAATTTGGTAAGCTGAAGGG